TTATTTTTTGTACAGTATATGTGCCATATAAGTAGATCATCCATACACGGTCATGTGCCATCAATGATGCCAGCACGTCAGACGCGTCCAAGACCAAAACATTTACTTATGCAAGGCAAATACACAAGTCGAAGTAATTACAGCAATCTTGTGTCCATCGCAACTTCGAATCAAAAGAAACGCCAGACCCCTGGATCGTGAAATCGGGGCTCAAATTGGTCGAATCACCCAAGACTGTCCGTGTGCGTCAGTTCAACGCGCCATAGAACGATCAAAAAACGCACGCATCAACTGATAGTCGCTGCCCTCAAAGACGAGCGGGACCGTGATTTCGATGTGTCCCAGAAGGATATCAAAGTTTTCCGCAAGGATGACTGCCGAACTCATGAGGCGATCCGTCGCGAAGAAACGAAACTGAGAGGGACGCACTCGGGGTGGTGACCTTGTCCTTGACGACTACTATCATGCCGAGGGGGTTGGTGATGTGGGCAGGCGGGTTCGAGGCGTCCCTGTGTGCACATATCAGCCCGACATCCCACTTCTGAGAAGGAGATATTATGATACCAAGTCACAGTCTGCGTCTGCCCAGAGGTCCAGACAGTCCCGGTGCTCGGGGAGGTGATGGGGGGCACGAAAACGTCGCGGGTCTCGAGGGGGGTAGCCGCGACGCTGAGCGCAGCAGCGAGGAGAGTAGCAAAGACGGCGGTGAACTTCATTTAGTGTGAGTAGGAAGGTTGAGCTGAAGAGAGTTGAGCTGGTACAAACTACTTTTATAGCATTTCGGGGAATTAGCGCCGTGTTTTACTTCCACGGCGATGCCAGCAGCCAGTTCTTCGAGGACTGCCCCGCCGAGAGGGGCTTCTTGATAGTGATAAGTTGACGGTTGAAGCGGAATGAAATGAGGGTGGTCTTGCCCACCCAGTGCTTCTGTTCAGGCAAATCCACCTTCCCCATGATCTGCTAGAGGCAGAATCCACACAATCAAGATATAACTCACTACAGAACGGGAATTATGCTCCGCACGTTTACTTGCCATGGCATATATGTACACTTAAATGGTCAATGGCGGCAGGTTTCCCACATGACGATACGCTGAATTGTCACACACTCCGAAGTCGGGCTCCACATCCCGCTCATTACACGGCCAGTAATTGGACGGTAAATGTTCCAGGCCACGGAGTCGGCATAGAATCGCCGCAAGGAAGACTGTCATTGACAGTCATTTCTGAAGTTTGAAACCTCTCGGCGTTCGACTTGTTTACCAGGCTTATCAGGCTAAATAGGAGAATCCTCACGAAGAAAGAAGCAGCCGACACGAACCATCAGTGATCATATCCCACGGTTCGGAGAATGGTCGATTTTAGCACTTGCCTCAACAAATGGAAGTTTCATGTTTCATTTGCCACAAGTTGAATACAAGCCAATTTCAATTGGGCATGTTGCTCAGGTGTGAATTTCGATGAGGAAGAGGAGGATCATGCCGAGTTTGTTAGCAACGAAATCAACTGAACGTTGTTTACATGTGTATTCGCGGCTTGATCTCGAACCACCACCATGTCTCTTGGTCTCAGACTTTTTTGACACACATCACACAATGTCTCAGACCTTGGAATCTTCCTCTGGTGGGCCTTTCCAGTTCATTCTTCGGGCGCTCGCGGATCAAATATGCAAGGGTTCCTATTGTTTCATTCCTTGTATAAAGTGGCTAACTCTCTCACTGAAACCCATATCTTACGACCCTTTTGCCACGACCCTCTCGAATATACTCTAACGACATGATGACTTTCATTCCCCTCGCTATTGTGGCCAGCCTCTCCCTCGTCGGCGCTGCACCTCTCGGTGGATACAAGCCTAGACCAGGAGAAACCACCGCCACGGCGCACCCCAGCGGCTTGCCTTTCTCGCCTGAATTTGCCCCGGGACCCGTCATACTGCCGCCCGCGATGTCCAGCAGTCTGGCCATCGCCGCTTCCTCTATCGCGCTGGTACCCTCTTCCCAGTCAATGGCGCCCGGCAGACCTGCGCGATGGGTCAGGGCCGGGGTACCCATAGCCACTGGCGCCATAGGCCTCGTTCCTGGGCTTACCATATCCCTCAAAAACTTTGTCGACGACCTCTTCAATACTGTCGGCGATAGCGCCCCCGGCGCTGTGAAGCGCGCGCACGTGCCCTCGATGGTCGGGCACCTCAATGAACTGGTACGTCCGCTTCTGTTATGGATATGGGTACATTCCGGGTAAATACTTGATTCCCTTCTCATCAGAAAATTCTGACTCACTCGACGCGATCTCGGTTCAACTTCGGGACTCACGCGCATGTGATCGTGTTTGTCCCGCACCCGAGTTGACTCATTTGGTAATGACTCCGTTATATATTAGCCGTAGATAGCCCCCATTTGAATCAGACCTCTTTGACTACTACCTTGACCATCTTCGTGTGATACTCACCGTGTGTGGGCTGAATCTCTGTTCTTCGACCTCCACTGTCTTAATTGCTAGTAGCCTACAGTCTACTCTGGTTGCCCGAGTAAATAAGCACGTTGCTCGGCCTTCGGCAGTCCGTCTACATACCTTGTGTGTCGCCCAAGTGGTGAACTTGTAAGGATTTCCTTCGAACTCAACTGACAGAGCTACCTCATCAGGAAAACCCGGATCTGACAATTGACACCGATTGTCAACAATCGGTGTCAATTGTCGCCAATCTGTCCAAATTGTCAGATTGTCAGAATGTCCAGGTCCCGATCCGTTGTCACCATTCTGCGGCAAATTATCACCAATTGTCTGGGATTGTCTGGGATTGTTGAGCATTATGGGTAGATTCTACAGGCAGTGCTCAGGCCATTCATTCGGAAGAATCGGAAACAACCATGAATTCCATTCATTCTACATAGGGACAACAAGACTACAATAGCAGCAAGCAATAATCTATCATACCATGCAGCCCACCAGCGACATGCAGCCCGCGGCACCATGCTACAGCACTGCAACAGGAGAAAACTCAGTCATTGGCAACGAAGGGTGTAGGGTAGGACGTACAGAGTCAATGGTCGGCGGAGGCATCGGGAACAGACCCAACGGAATCAGCAGGGAACGGTGGGCAACGGCATTACTAGAGAGGGAAGCAGAACAGTGTCAACACGATTTCTATGCAAGTCAAAGTCACATACATTTGAGCAGGAACACATCACGGTACTGGCGAGCAAACAAAGGAGTGAGTGGTTACATAGCGAGCGGGACTGCAAGGGAGACACACCTTGCAACGATGTGAAAGAGCGTGAGGTGGCAATCACGGGTGCACAAGCGGCGGCCATCAAGAAATTCAGACGAGAGCGAGGAGGGGCGGCGGCGATGGTGTAGATATGAGAACTAACGTGACACGTCAACACCGTTAGCGAGCACGACAAAGAATGTAACGTCATGACGACATAACGACATACATCACGGATGCGGCCGCACACCATTCTGCGGGCAGCGGGCTAGGATCCGTCGGGGATGTCGAGCTACGGGTGTTGAGGCTTCCAGTATGAGCCGGGGTCGATACCTCTGGCGAGACCTGTCAGATGGTGGATGGAGTTCACCATGGACAAGTTACACACCTTCCTGTGAGCATCGTCCTGGGTTCACCAAGTCTACACGCAACAAGATTGAGCGCATGCAACGATGAGCTGGGAGTGTGTGACTGACCGAGTAGGACTGATGGGCAGTAGCGAGGAATGAGGAGTGAGCTTGACTAGGTAGCGGAGGCTGCGGCGCGGTAGACGATTGAGAGCATCGGTGGAAGAGGAGGGAGAAGAGGGAGAAGGTGGTGGCGAGAAGAAAGAAGAGAGTAGGCGTACCCGTGGCTGCCACGTAGTGATTGATCAATTTTGGTGACTTCTGCCCGAAACTCCCACGTCTCGGCAACAGCTTGACAACACGGCCTCCAACAACCGCCGATTTCTTCCAAGTCCCTTCTCTGTCTCTGAGTCTCTCACAAGTCCCCCGAGCGCGCACAAGCCGCACCGTTTGATTAACTGGATTCGCTCACCACCATATCAGCTCATTTCCTTGCTGAATGAACACCTGCACAAGTCTGGCAATAAGTGGGTGAGCAAGGGTACGGGAGCCAGGCCCACTGAAATGAGCTTGAATGAAGCACTGAGAACGGGTATTACCAACTGCAGAGTAACTCTGCAGTTGAGAATTGATGGTGAGCATTAGTAGCGGATTGTTGGGGATTGTCGAGGATTGCCGAGAATATCTGATTGTTGCAAATTGTCAACAATCTGTGGCAGATTGTCGAATCCGGTTTTTCCTGATGCTCTAGCCCTGTTCTACAACAGCTTCCACCAGACCTTTGATCCTCTTATCCATTCTGTCCACCGAACAGCGAACAGCGGCATTGTCCATGTCCCAGGCCATGACCGTCAACACGGCTTTGGGACACGCGGCCACTTCGGTGAGTGCACTGGGCTATTTGAATATTGCTCAATAATGCTGATGTCTATCCCCAGCTCGCCGAGGTCCCCACTTTCCCTTCCAGTATGACGGCAGGCATGGCGGCGCTGTTTGCTCGTCCTATTGGTGCGCTCTGCGAGGTATGTGCCTCCTTCCTTTCGCGCTCGGACCCCTTCTAATAGGCAACGTTCGACTTACCCAGCTTCCGAGTTGGGAGTACGCAGCCGCAAGTATGTTGGCGTTACGGCTGCAGGTTATTGCGGGGGGCTCTTCCGCAGCAGCAGTGTGTGACTCTGGAAGTGACTTGAATGATAAGAAATAATAAAGCATCAGCTGTATTACCATGCATGTATTCAATAGTCAACTGTACAACCATTTTTCCTTGAGTTCGGACTTCATATGACATGGACAAGCCCAAATGTGACCCTGGTGCCTGGCTCAACTTGGATACGATGAACGGCGCCACCGAGTGGCAGGGATACACTCCGCAATGGCACAAACGGCGAGGAATTCATGGGATCTGCGCAGCAAGAAGTAAGTGGAGGTTGAACATGGAAAAAGAAATACACGCAAGGGGAGTCGAACCCCTGCCGCTTGCTATCATCACGTGACTCGGCTCGTGGAAGGCAAGCATGATAACCGCTTCACCATGCGTGTTTTCTTAACTTCTGTGAAGCAGCAATTGGACCTAAAACCGTCCGCAAGTGATTTCGAAACCAACTCTTCGAAATGCACCAGAAAGTGAACGGGGAAACAAAGTTTTGCCATGGTGATCACTATCACTGCTGCACCGAAGTTTGTGTGCCCCACAAGAACCTACAGCACACTCAAAATCTGTTGTTCAGACATACAAAATACAATTCATACTACATCTCCAACATCCGCAGCGCATTCTGTATTGACCCATCCACCGACGTTGCCCACGCTAAACATGGTCAGCACAATACAACGACATGCAAGACACGCACCCCACTCCCAATTCTTGACCACGAGACCATGCAGCTTCTGCAAACGATCCCAAAGCTGCGTGCCTTGGCAGCGCTCAAAGTCGTGCCCGACACCATCGGCGGAGAAACTAAAGTACCTCCCATTCAGACGCGAGGACTCTTGTACGCCGAGGGCTGCCGGTCGTCGGATCTCGTCGTGAATGCGTAAAGCCCGTGCTAGAGTCTCGCGCGTCGTTGACGGGTGGCCGAGGACGGTGGCGAGGATGTAGGCGTCCTATCACCATTAGTAAGACCCATGGAATGTGACGAAGCTTACCTCGATGGCCTGGCCCGCACCAGAACTGAAGAAGCGTAAGAACAGGTCGTTCCGTAGCGGGATACTTACCCTTGGTGTGGAGTCATTGCATGCGCCGCATCACCGATGAGAACCGTCCGTCCAGAAACAAACGACCGCAAAGGCCTCACGGTATGAACCGCCCACCTCAAAGGCTTGTCGACGCACTGTGAACGATGAGATGAATCAAAAAAGCCAGAGGGCGCTCACATGCATGAGCGCCTGCACCTCGGGCTCCCAATGGGCAAACGTCTGTATAAACTGAGACTTGTCGCTCGGTCCCACCCAAGGCCCATTGAAGCGCGTGTTCTCGAGGTCGTTCCGGCAGGTGAAAGCTACAAAGTTGACCATCTTGCCTTGCGAGATCGGATACGCGATGATGTACTGCAAGGATGAGTGAAATTCTAGAAAGAAAAAACGCAGCACATACGCCGTGCTTTCCGAGATACTGGGTGGGCGTCGTAAGGACCCGATGGCCGGGTGCACAAGCTTGTAGCCGCTCCGCTGGAATAAGGGAGCGGTAGGCAATGTCTCCGCTCCAAACAGGTTCGATGCACGAGGCCACTTCCGCCGCTTCTCGCGCGCGGCCCTGAGCCTGCATCCAACTGGCACGCTCGTTCAACATCGTCCCGCGCACCGCCGACTTGAGACCATCCGCACCAACGAGCACGTCGCAGAACACACGGCTCCCGTCCTCAAACAGGAGTTCCGTGGGCCCGCCTTCGCGTTGCGCGTAGGAGCGGAGACGCTTGGAACACGCTATTCGACAGGATTTCGGTAGGTGACGCAGGAGAACCTTCTGAAAATCCGCCCGATGCAATGTTAGCAAGGCACCTGTCAAACTAAGCCCGTGAATCGACACGGAGCTAAGGGCGCCACTCACCGTTGGTGATGAGGGTCGAGAAACTGAAACCGGCTTGTTGATCGCTTTTTCTATAAGTGAAACCGTGCACTGGGGGCTCTTGTTGGAAGGAGAGAATGGAATAGGAAAACCAGGCACCGTACCTGGACCCTCCAGTGGCTTCTTCTCGCACGTCATCAGAAGATCGTCCTCAAGCCCGAGCATCCGAAGGATCTTCCAGGGTCGCGGAAAAACGCCGATGCCCGCACCGACTTCAGCGAGAGACGTCGCGGCCTCGTAGACTTCCACGTCGATGTCAGGATACTGGGAGAGCGCGAGGGCCAGGGTGAGACCGCCGATTCCTGCACCACTGGAGGGCGTCGATCAGCGGCGATAGCGAGGACCAGGATTGCGCACCATATCGCTACTTTGAGTCGTTTGGGGGAAGTTGCCATGGATGAACGAGTTGTGAGGGTGGCATCTTCATTTCATCCATCTTATATGAGCCGTCGGAAGGCGCGGTTTTGACGGACTGGCGATAGGCACTCGAGGCGGCAAATTAAGCGAGCAAGTGACCAGATTGAGAGGACGGCCGAATACCCACGATTTAGTCGCATTTGCCTCCGGAGAGTTTCTTTCTCTGTTTGTCAAGTGACTTCATGGGCAAACCGCGGTTTCAGCGCATGCAAGTGGGAAAATGGCGATCCGAGTTCATTGTGGGTCTGAAAGAGGGGAATAGCAGGTGATCCGGCTTGATGGAAGTGATGCAGGGTAATCTCGGGGAGAACTTAAGAGTTTCGTCGGTAATCGCACATCTGCCCCATTCTATTTCCTGTGGGTCAAGGACCACTAATTGTTCAATATTCACCACAAATCCTGTTGTCTATTTTTTGACATGTTCTAGATCCCGTTCATTGAATATGAGAACCCGACGGCGGAAATTGCACTCCGTCCAAAACGCTCACGAACTCGAGAAGACTGACTGACAATATTCTGAGTGACCGTGGGCTAAAGTATGCCATACCTCCTGTCGATCTACGCAGTTGGCCGCGGGACCGTTCGTTTCGCAGCCACGATCCCGTCGTGGTTCGAATTTTACTGCTACCGACTGACCAAGTTGGACACAACTTTCGTCAGCAGAAGAACGGCCCACAAAATATTGAATAACCGGTAGAAGACTTCCTTCTCATTATCCACTCTGAGAAAACACCCTGATAAACAAAATAGGACCCACGTTGGAATCGCTCCAAAGTACCCATTGGTGGGTCTCTGTCGGCGTTAGACAATCGAGAGGCCACCGAACCCCTCTCTACTGTGAATCCCCTCAAGTCGAACTCTATGACCTGCCCAATAGTATCTTGTCACCCTCTCCGTGATTTTCGTGCCAGGTGCGGTCTAGACCGCCAGGTCCTCTGCACACCACGCGCTTGCAATCTTCATTAAAACCCGAACCCGCCGATGCACCGTACAGCTCCCGCACGAACGTTCAGGATATGACGATTTGCGCCCGAACGGCGTGTTATCTGCCCAGCGATACCGGGCTCGACGGAGCGTCGCTCACAGAACGGGGGAGCCCTTTCGCGCGCTGGATTCGGAGTGGTCCTAAATAAATTGCAACTTAGTAGTAATTTCCCGCATGCATGCCAAGAAGGTCAACTCCCTGCCAGAAAGACGTTGAACCAGAGGATTAGATTTGGTACCAAAGTAGTGGCATGGCCGACTAGAAACTGTATGCAGACTGGCATGCCGGGGGCAACTGGCAACTAGTTTCTGGGCCGAGCGATGGCCGGGCGACGCAGCAGAGTAGACTATGACGTCGTCGTGGCGTAGTCGATGAAGTGCCTTTCCAGAAGGCACCGCAGATCCCTCGTCGGCCCTGAAGCGTCCGGGTCCGAGTCCCGAACTGATTCCAGTGGACGAGTTACTCCGAAGCAAGCGGGACGAGTATCACTGATAAATACACAGACTCGAGAAAAGAACGGAGGGTGCGACGAGTGTCATTTTGCGGCGGCGCGAGCGAGTCGGCTTGGAAACGAGAAAAAAACGGGCTTGCGGTTCTGTCGTTCCAAAGTGAACAAGCCCAGCCATGCGGTCGGTCGAAATTGCACCCACTATCCCATCCGAACTGGGGCTCATAAAAGGAGCAGAACGTGGCTCGCATGTGTACCATGGGTGATAGCAGCCGGGAAGATGATACATTTCAGGGCCATTTCGTGGAAAGAAAACAAACTGAAGAGGTTCTCTCTCCAACAAGAACGCCAGGCAAGAGGAAAAAGAACTCACAAGGTGGTGCTGGCGAGAGGTATCGTGCCTAGACCAAGTTTAGACCACATAGCCTAAGCTTTTCTGGGATATCTAATCCATGCTCGGATACTGCCCGCAAATCCTCCTATGAACCTGGCGCCTGTGGAACCGACATGAAATTAAAACTGAAGAATGGGGATGACATTGAGATGGCTCTTCGGACGATTGTGTGGATGCGACAAGAGAGTCCGGCGCCGTCGCCATTTGTCTGGTGAAATCAGTTAGCACATAGATTTCTTCAATGCTGCATACCAAATATTTTTCGCCTCCACAGTCTTGCTCATACGGCCTAGACCTAGACCCACCTCTTGAAGCTTCTCGCCTTCTCTCGGTCCGCAAGTCCGTTATTAATTGACCTTTTAGCGCTTCAGCCACTCGCAAGTCGACGTCGCCTTCGTTGTCTGTCCAGTTGTCATCTCCGAAGCGACAAAGCGACGAGTCCGCGGGCATAAACCTTCGACGTCCTTTAATTTCCGCGAAGCCTGTCGTGCTTGTCAGCTAATGTCGAAATCCCGACGACGGTCCAGGATGCGCGTGGGCGGCTGGAGCCGAAGTCGCTCCCGAGACTTTGTTGCCAATTGCAGCGTCTATTGCATGCAGACCCTGTAGCTCAGCGGATGGCCTTCAAACCGTCTTAGCATGGGGATCCGCCCGACGCCGCCCGCACCCTCGGACTCCGTGAGCAAAGGGTCTGGGTCTCATCCGACAGACCTAGCGATGGAGAGACGGCCACGAGGCTGGATCATCTGGGCTTAGATTCAAAGCAAGCGAGAACAGCCGGTCGTCGGTCATAGGACATGCATTGGGCTGAGTCTCGGTGTCCTTAGCGAGCGAGCGGGCGCGAGAGTACATTGACCAGAATGTCTTTCCAGAAGCCCTCCGTTCCTCGGGCCCGTGACGCCGCCTCTTCAAGGGTAAGAGCAGAAGCTCATGCGTGCAGATGGCCACCAATGTCGTCAAGGCCCCGCGTCGACCGTGCGAGAACACGAAAAGGGTATGCATGCATGCAGGTATGCCCATTCATTAAACCCGTACGTGGTCAGTCTACCATACCTACTTACCACCCGAATATCATCTCCGACACCTGTCCCAGCATGCCCTTGCCCCCCGGAGTACCAGGAGCGCTTGCAGCGTCAGGAGGTGGTACTGAAGCGGCACTTGCCCAACTGGGCGTCTGTGGCGCCGCCGCTGCCGGCTTGGGAGCGCTTGAAGCTGAGCCTCCAGCCCCCCG